CTTTGGTTTCATCTGACCACATGACATTCTCCCAATCCTCTGCTGTATCATCCATGTGCTCTCTGGCAAACTTCAGACGGGCCTGGACATGCACTGGCTTCAGCAGCGGAACACGTCTGGCACTGCGGGATTTGATTCCCTGCCGTTGTAGTGTGTTACTGATGGTGACCTTTGTTACTTTGGTCCCAGCTCTCTGCAGGTCATTCACCAGGTCCCCCCGTGTGGTTCTGGGATCTTTGCTCACCGTTCTCATGATCATTTTGACCCCACGGGATGAGATCTTGCGTGGAGCCCCAGATCGAGGGAGATTATCAGTGGTCTTGTATGTCTTCCATTTTCTGATGATTGCTCCCACAGTTGATTTTTTCACACCAAGCTGCTTGCCTATTGTAGATTCACTCTTCCCAGTCTGGTGCAGGTCTACAATACTTTTCCTGGTGTCACTTCAAGAAAAGCGTCTGGACTTCTTTAAGTTGCTTGAAGACGTTTCACCTCTCATCCAAGACAGCTTCTTCAGTTCTAAGTCAAATGGTGAGAGTCCCAGATATAACACTAGTGGGAGAACCCCCCACAGAGGGACAAGGAAGTGGGGGGTCTCTCCCACTAGGTTTATATCTGGGACTCTCCACCATTTGACCTTAGAACTGAAGAAGCTTCTCGGATGAGAGGTGAAACGTCTTCAAGTAATTAAAGAAGTCCAGACGCTTTTCTTTGCAAGCTCCTTTTGACTACGATACCTGGTGCAGGTCTACAATACTTTTCCTGGTGTCCTTCGAAAGCTCTTTGGTCTTGGCCATGGCGGAGTTTGGAGTCTGACTGTTTGAGGCTGTGGACAGGTGTCTTTTATACAGATGATGAGTTCAAACAGGTGCCATTCATACAGGTAACGAGTGGGGGACAGAAAAGCTTCTTACAGAAGACGTTACAGGTCTGTGAGAGCCAGAGATTTTCCTTGTTTGAGGTGACCAAATACTTATTTTCCACCCTGATTTACGAATAAATTCTTTACAAATCCTACCATGTGGATTCATGGATTTTTTTTTTCACATTCTGTCTCTCACAGTTGAAGTGTACCTCTGGTGCAAATTACTGACCTCTGTCATCATTTTAAGTGGGGGAACTTGCACAATCGGTGGCTGACTAAATACCTTTTTGCCCCACTGTATATCTTGTACGTGCAGGCAGTGATTCCAATCATTCTACACCCAGATTATACACTCCTCAGTCCAAAACAAACCTTCTAAGATGGCTCTGTCTATGTGTTAAAAAAGGAGACCTATATTGGTGCTATCTTTGATACAATCGGAGGAACCCCTACATTTGTCTGGACAGAATTAACAAAATGTGGGCTAATGGGCTGATGAGAATTTTGCGCGCATACTTCATGCTTAAAGTGTCTCTGCAGAGACACCTGTGAGTATTGTTGGTGTCTCTGCAGAGCAGTGCGTGGACCATTGTCAACACATCGGCTTAAGAACTTGCAGTCCCAGTCAAGGATGGCAGGTTTTGTACAATGAAAGAAGCTGGAATCTATTTCTCTCTTTCTCAGGAAAGAATTGTTCATTATAATTTGGTCCATAAGTTAAAAAAAAACTGTATTAATCAATATGTGATTGAAGTGTAGACTTTCAGCTTTAATTTAGGGGGTTTAACAAAATTTTTGCAGAAACTGTTTACAGACATTTTTATACATAGTTCACAATTGTTAGAAGCTCAATCATGACTGGACAAAGTAACATAATTTAAAAAATAAAGATTGTTTTGACTGCCTGACATCTGGAACCCATGAACTTCACCAAATGCTGTTTCCTGCTTTGATATTCTCTCCTTGCCTTTACTGGAGCAAACGTCAGTTACTTCTTGTTTGTGGGTCTCTCTGAATTCAGTCTTGTATTTAATAACTGAAAAGTACACTCTGTTGGGTTGAGATCAGGTGACAGTCTTGGCCGCTTTTGGAATAACCCATTTCTTTGCCTTGAGAGCTCTTGGGTTGCTCATGCTTTGGGTCATTATCCATTTTCACTGTGACGCGCTGTCTGATCAGTTTCGCAGCATTTAGCAGAATCTGAACAGAGCGTACAGTCCTGTATATTTCATCCTGTTATCAGCAGTCACACCAGAGGTAAACATACTGATGATGTTCTGTCATTCAATGATGTGGTATGCATCAGATCATAAACTCTCTTTTCTACCCTTTGTATCTCCATTCACAAAGGTGTCTTTTGCCTCCTTGATAGTATTTATGAGTTGGTTAAATGTTGTGAAGCTGATTTTCTTAACCATAGAAATAATTCTGTCATCATCCACTTAAGTTGTCTACTGTGCTCTTTCAGGCTTTATGGTGTTGTGCCATAGTTTGTCATAACATTCATTCCTTTCAAGAATGCAGCAGATTGTGGATTTGGCCACTCCTGAAGTTTTTCCTTTTTCTCTAATAGGTTTATTTTGTTTTTGCAGTTTAATGATGGGCTTCCTCGTTGGCATCTCCTTGAGCATCATATTTAAATTGAATGTGAAAAGCTATCTGTATTTGAAATCAGCTACAGATATTATACATGCCCGATTTGTCATAAAATAGCAAGAAAACTTATCTCACTTGGCCATGAATCTGCTTGTAACTCCAAAACTGATCACACAGTGCTTCACAGTGCAAATGGGTAATGACACAAATCATACTGCAAAAGCATCCCAAGAATTTCTCAAGGCAATTAAATCCAAAGAAGTAACAAACGTGAGACTCCAAGGTAAACTTACGCAGACCGACCACACAGCAAGATAAGGGTAGAACACGACACTGACAAACTGAAACACAGGGCTTAAATACATAGAGGGAGCAATCAGGGAATGGACAACAGGAGGGAAACACAGCTGGGGCAAATCAGGCCTAACGAAACAGGGGAAGCAAAACCAGGAAACAGGAAACATAACACAGACTGAACTTAAAGACACAGACTCACAGGCAGGCAGTACAACAGAGGGAACAGAGACGTAAACCATAAGACAGAACTCTAACAAAGAAACCAAAGACTAGAAATGATAAATAATATAATAAACTCAAAACTCTGGGTCAACGACCCAGGCATCCTAACAGCCTGCGAGCTTGAGGGTCCTGCGCAGTATCTTAGCTGTTCCTAGGACTACAGTCTTCTGGACAGAGATCTCAGAGGTTTTTCCTGGGATCCGCTGGAGCTACTTGCCTAGCTTGGGAGTCACTGCACCTAGCGCCCAGATTACCTCTGGGACCACCCACTGTTACCATCATTCTCCACATCTTCTCAAGCTTGTCTCTTAGCCCCTGGTACTTCTCCAACTTTTCTTGTTCCTCCTTCCTGATGTTGCTGTCATTCGATAAAGCCATGTCTATCACAACAGTCATTTTCCTCTGCTTGTCCACCACCACTATGTCCAGTCCATCACCATTTTGTCCGCCTGTATCTGGAAGTCCCACAGGATCTTAGCTCGGTCATTCTCGACCACCCTAGAGGGTGTCTCCCATTAAGACCTCGGGACTTCCGGTCCATATTCGGCACAGATGTATCTGTATAAGGTGCCGGCCACTTGATTATAGCGGTCCATGTTTCCCCTGCCTCCTAGCATCTTGCACCCTGCTGTTATGTGCTGGATTGTCTCAGGGGCATCTTTACACAGTCTGCACCTGGGGTCTTTCCTGGAGTGGTAGACCCCTGTCTCTATGGATCTTGCATTTAAAGCTTGTTTCTATCCTGTCTTTCAGTCCAGCCACTAGTAGGATGGCAGGATTTGTGCATGTCAACAACCTCTTAACCTCTGTCTCTCTTTAACCTCTGTCTCTCTTTCACAGCATGTCTTTATCCTGTCTTCCTTCTCTCACCCCAACCGGTCGCAGCAGATGGCCGCCCCTCCCTGAGCCTGGTTCTGCCGGAGGTTTCTTCCTGTTAAAAGGGAGTTTTTCCTTCCCACTGTTGCCAAAGTGCTTGCTCATAGGGGGTCATATGATTGTTGGGTTTTTCTCTGTATCTATGAAGCACCTTGAGGCGACTTATGTTGTGATTTGGCGCTATATAAATAAAAATGAATTAAATTGAACCTCCTCTATCTGCCAGAGGTACATACCGTGCAGGGGCCTGTCCTTCCATTTTGGCTCCTCTTTCTTGGGTTTTTGCTGCCTGAAGTATTCACCCAGCCAATAGAGCAACTTTTCAATTGTACATTCTAAATTGTCAGTTTATGAAAATGAATGCAGAGACACCCACTGAAAAGCAGCAAATGAAGAACCCTCTCTGGTAATGTCTAAACTTCAGGCACTCACTGAGAGGAAAGGATTTTCATTTAAGTATTGAAAGAATACTTATATTTAAAATTATGATTGTTTGTCAACTTATTTGACCTCTGAGAATGGGGGACTGTAGCTGTGAATACATTATCAGCAGACCTTTAAGAACTTCTATATATGTGAAAAGGTCTTGTGAAAAATGTGAATGTAAATTACAAGTATATTTAAAACCTCTAAACTATCTTTGTTTTTTAAACTTGTTGCAACTTAAGTTAACTATAATGCAGCAAAAAACTATTGGTGTAGTTCATGTAGGGCTGCATTGCCCACACTTACTTAAACAGGTGATAATAATTACTTTAATGAGTGTTCACAGCCTGAATTGTTGTTATGTACATATTCTTTGATGTTAACATAGATGATATGGAAAAAATCATAAATGAACGATCTAAAGTAATAAAGAGCTACCAAATTTTCACGGAAGAATACTTTATTCTTTTTTTTTTTGTCTTTTTAAGTTTAAAGCCTCCAGGAACAGCTTACTATGCGATCACATTTGTAGTTTTTATGTTTTACTATATACGAACTTCCTAAAATACATTTTCCTAAAAACAAAGACTCAAACAACGTTTTAAATGCGATGGTTTTTATTATACATATTGTTTTAATCACCTCGGCAGGGCAAGCACCGCTTCACGTCCGTTTTAAAAGCAACCGGAACGTTTAACTTGTGTTTCTTCCGTGTCCGTTTTCATGCGTACCGTTGGATTTTTTTTGTTTACATAGCAACAGCCTAGATGTACCAGTATGATGTGTGACGATAAGTGTCATTGTTTCATTCTAATCTTATTCAATACACTGCATTTAGCTGGTTAAACATGACGGTCACAGCTTGATAATGAGGTAAAAGCTGCCATATCCGGCTACCGTTTTTTTCTAAGCTGGCGAGACTTCGCTAAGGGTAAGCAGGTCGATCTGTTCTTCGAAAGATGTCTTTTCAGGAGTCACCCCGTCCTTCTGAAGAGGATGAGGCTTTCTACATGCAGTGCAGAGCCGCGTACCTGGCTGTGTTCAGATCTAGTTTGACAAATATCACTTCGAAACAGCACTTATGCCGTGGTAAGCGAAGACAACTCACTGATTGTTAGCTAGCAACAAATAAACCTTTGTAAGCAGTTCATTGTGATTGTGATGTGTAGTAAGTAACAAGTATTTATCGCTGAGTTTCACTATAATGGGCCACTTTTCTCTGTGTTCTATACTTATACTATGAACAGAATGATTGAAAGTAGAAAATGGGAATTTCCCCCAAACTCTGAGACCAGGGTGACCAGATCCCAACAACCTAAATGTGGGGCAAACATTAACAATGACGGGAGGTTTTTCATCGCTAATTTAAAGATAAAAATACAGGATTGGTTTTTGTCATGTAAAGGCCAATTGTGTTTGCAGTTCTCTTAAGTAAAAGTTAAAATTTGCTCTTATAGCCTCATTCGACAGTCTTTATATATACTCTAATATTTTGTTAGGGAAGCATCTATAAGCATCTATAAACTGGCACACTTATTTCTTCTGTCGCGGGGGGTGGGGGGGCTGAAGCCTATCCGAGCTGTCTTAGGGCAAGAGGCAGGGTACTGCATGTCTGTGGACTGTGGGAGGAAGTCTTAGTAACCGGAGAGATCCCATGCAAACAACAGGAGATCATGCAAATGCCACACAGAAAGACCCTGGCCTAATTGAATTCAGGTGCTATCCACTGTGCTACCGTGCTGCCCAGTTTCTAGCAATAATTACCAATTATGACACACATATTCTCTGTGACTTCACACCATATTTCTCCCTCTGTTCAAACTGAAAATTCAACCAAAGTTGTGATTATTTTTTTTTTTATGTTTTTATTTTTGGTGAATTGAAACTTGTAACTCTTTGATGAGTATGGCATTATACTGGCTAACCTTCTGACTATAAAAAAACAACCCTTCCATTCATGTGCATTTGGTAAAATCCAGTATGGAGAAAAGTGCATGTCCTGTAGAACCAGTTAAAATATGGGACAGGAGGTCAGGGAACAGAAATGCTGTGGCATTTCCACTTAAAGAAGGACATTTGCTCATCCTATTTGGAAGGATGGCCAAATTTGAAAATAAACTTCACCTTAAGTGTTGAATTTAATTATAATTTCTATTGAAGTTGAGTCGGCATCAAATTTTTTGAGGTAAAAGGTTGCATATCTCACTGTAAAATACTGTCAGTTCTATTCATCTGAACGATTTCCTTGTCCTGATTACCATCAGGACAATGTGGATACAGGGGGTTTCATTTATTTATTTATTTGTGTAAACATTTGTTTCCTATTCCTCCATTCAGTTCTTCAACAGGCTGGTAGAAATCCATCCAGTGCCACTCTTAATAAATACTGGACTGCTACAACATCTAAACTGAACTTTGATGACTTTTGTGAGATTCTCAAGCATGAGGAGAAAACTGAGGAGAGTGAGCTGATGAGAGTTTTTAAAAAGATGGATGTGAACGGTGACGGCTACATCACACACAGTGAACTGGAGAAGGCCTTAATCACTGTGAGTAGCCTAACACTTTGGATTAGATTTTCATCAAGTGGTTATACTTTAGTTATAAAGTGAATATGGTATGGTATATGGTTATATAAGTTTGTTATAGATGTCATTTTTGAGTTAACTGGCCACTTCATTAGGTACAACTCCCAAAAGGTTGATTCTGTTCATCTGGAATTAGCGTTTTCAGTGGGAGAAATGTTTCGTCACTCATCCAAGTGACTTCTAGAGACTGAACAGAATCAACCTTTTGGGATTTTCTTACCTGGATGGTTGAGGATGCATCAAGACATTAGGTACAACTGTTCAGCTACTCGTTACCTCAAATATCTTACTAGCAAATCACATGGCAAACGAACTGAAGCATATTTTCTTGCTCTTCTAGAGAGGAGAGAAAATGACAAAAGAGGAGGTGAATGCTATCTTCTCACTGGCTGACATCAACAAGGATGGCAAACTGCACTACGCAGAAGTAAGTGTAGACATATGAAATGACTTTTGCTGATTTTTATGTAATTATACTTTATAAACAGCTTATCTTAAAAGCCCTTGTCCCTGTTTCCTGTATCACATATTGTACACACATACTGTACAGTGCAGTCGTGCAGCCTTAAAGAAACATTGAAGTTATCAGGTTTATACTGAATTTTCAGTCTTCCATCATTATTCTTATTGCTTGCTTATACTGGACTTTTGTTATGGATACACTATATCTTAATATGCCATTTACTCAGAACATTAATGAGTAACACAAAATTCTAATTCTTCCTCATATTTGTTCCACATTCGTGTTTATTTAATACGTCTTCTACTCATTCTTAACATTGCCTAACACCAGACTGTAAACATTCATCCCGCTGCTTGTTGCTTCAAAGTATCGCTCATGCATCATCCTCTTACTCTTGCTTTCCTGCTGCTGTCAGTTCTGCAGATTGTTTGCGTCTACAGTAGAGCAGTGTCAAACAGCTGCTTTGGAGAGACTTGAGGCTGATGCCAAGCTGAAGAGACTGAACTTTGGCAGTCAATCATACAGCCCGCCAAAGAGCTCCGTGTCATCAGCATCACCAGCAACTCAGCGGGCGGACTCGGACACGACACCAAAGAAAGGTGCAGGATTCGACCTTCTATCGAGAGCTAAAAGAAAAAAGGGATATCAAAATTTTGGTTTAAAAAAACAACATCAACTATACAACAGTTTTGTTCAAAATCTTCATATATTTGGATGCACACCCATACACACAGATTTCCCATTTGCTCGGTTACTGATCGATTTTTCACTCACTCCATGACAAATCACCTCATTAAGACAGTCCATACATCATAATAGCCACACAATTAAGGTGGCCTGTTTGGAGGGAGGAGACTGTAAAGTGTTTTGATTTGAGTAATCATTTCTGCCATTAAGAGATTGACATTGGCTCTGTCAACTCTGAGGAAAACTCCAGGCGTTCAATCACTTTTGAAATCCTATGTGATTTTTTTTTTTTCTTTTCTTTTTTTTCAAAGTTGGTAATTTCCAACTTGCTAAACTACTATTTCTTACAAACATGAGAAATGTGTGCTTCTCCAGCCACTTTTTTTTTTTTTATTAAGTGGATGTTAAATGCTCACTTTTTCACTTTAGAAGCACTGTGTCGAAAAGAACCGAGGTCCAGGATGAGCGAGCCAAGGACAGGCTCACAGTGGGAAGATAGATGGGGTTGATTTAAGTGGTCAGTCCATGTTCATGTTATTGATTTGGAGGATTCCACCACTTCTCACTGGGGAGATGATGAGGAATTAGAGAGGAGGCCCAGTCCACCACTGCTGCAAAAACAAATGAGCTTCCAGATAGTAGTCGGGATTATCACATTATTGCGCCTCTCCCATGTATTGATTTATACGCGTTACATTTTAACAAGGCTCTGACACAAGATGCTACGTGATCGCACATGTTGAATGGGTTATTCTTCCAGCTCGAAAACAATTTGGACTGCTCATTTGGTCTTAGATTTGTCAGTAGAAACCAGAACTGCCCCAAGATATACATTTTAATCATATCAGACATGGGTAATTTTGACATATTTTTTTTTTCTCTTTACCAAGAACTGCTGAGATTATGATTATCTGTTCATTCTGCTGAAGAAAAAACTACCCCAACATTCAATGTGCGCTCACATGGAAGCTTTTGTTGGGGGGGTTACGTTTTAATGCATCTGTAGACCGCCTAGAATAGTCCCAGCAAAATAGATCTGTGACAAACACCATGACAGTGGGTCTGTTTATTTCTTTGCTACGGTAATTTGCTCATAAGTCCGTCTCATTCCTTCGCATCTCCATTTCCCAGACTTCGAAACAATCAGACCACTCATTAGCAAATTGACATTTTCGAGCTTCAATTAGTCTTCGAGGAAAAAAAAAAAAGTTGCAAGAGAAATAGATTTGAAAAGGAGCCGTTACACCACTTGTGCTTTCAAATGGGTCTGTAATTAATTCAACTGAGCTTGAACTCAAGACCACACTTTGCCAGAAGCCAAATGCAAGGTAGCCATGTTCGCATGAACTTGGAAATAGATTTTGGATAAGAATTAGGGAAGGCACAGGCTGGCCTAATTTATTTGTCAGTAAAAGATGCTGTGTGTGTGTGTGTGTGTGTGTGTGTGTGTGTGTGTGTGTGTGTCCATGAGAATTTTTACGTGTCTGGCCTGTGTGTGTGTTGCAGACAACCGCTCATCCTCCCGGCCTTCTTCAGCTCGCAGCAGACGTTCGTCTCTGTCAAGCTCAATCACGATGACATCCAGCAGCACTAAAGCCAACAAATTCCCAGAGCCTTCAGGTTTACAGGTAACCCCCTTCAGTCGTTTTGACTTCATAGCTACATCTAATGAATAACTTCATTATTGGTTAACCTGTCAGTTTTTCCCAGAGCCTCTCAGTCTATTACACTGGCTTGTACACTTGGAACCAGAGAAGAGTGTACATTTGTGTTTAATTTAACGAAATGAAATAATTAAGTGATAATGAAAGTCATCATCAATCAGTTTGTGCTTTAAATAAGAGTCCATCCATTGATATCACTGTTTTAAAACCACATTTTACCAGCATTTGATTAGAGAAAACTTAATTTAATGAGAAAATGAACAATATCTGTAGATGATTTGGAGTTTATGCATTGCTGTTAAGTTTGAATCACAGACCAAACTGGAAATATTAAGTACGTGCGGCCCTTGTGCGAGGGACCCCATTATAAGAAGCTCTACAGCGTTGCCTAGTGTCATGCAGTATTTTTGATGGGCAAATTTAGCCCAGGGCAGACAGATATACACTGTATTGATCTCACACTCTTTGTTTTCACTCTTTCTGGCTTAACCTCAGCTGGTTTGCTTTACAGCAAAAGGGGCGGTAGGGGGGGGGAGTAAATATATAAATAAAACTAACAACCCCTTGCTCCATCTCTCAGGTGCGAGCGCGGTGTTGAGATTGGAAAGGGCCAGACAACCTCGAGGTAAAAGAATGGTTGTCCAGAGATTACCTCTGAGGGGAAGTTCTGCTCGCCATATTGGCTTTTATATTGCCACAGGCTGATGACTGGGAGGTGGTGGGTGGAGGGTAGGATGTGTTTTTGTAACTGTGTGGATGTGTGTGTGGATGTGTGTGTGTGTGTGGGATGCAAATATGTCTTCATGAATAGAAACCCAGCCAGTAAGGATTATTCTTACTTATTCTGAGTGTTTGTGTTTATGTACAGGTTACAAGTGTAACAAAATGAGAAGGCTGCGGTTTAAATGCTCGTGTGTGTATGTGTGTGTGGTTGTGTTTGTGGCTGGTTCGGTGTCCTGTGACCCTGTGTGAAACAGTAAATCAGACCTGTGGCCGGAGCAGGTGACAGCGCCTGTATTAGTCTGCAGGCTGACCCTCTCTCTATGGGGGCATTAATTCTGATGTCTTTAAGCAGTGGATGGGAGCCTGTGGCATTTCCCCTCATTTAATATTGTCTGGACAAACCTCTGAAGTGTTATGGTTTGATCTTTTATGCCTCTCAGCCCAAGATAAATACTTTGAGAAAATAGCTTTTCTCTAAAGGAGTGACATGCTCCGTCTTTATGGTACTTTCTTTGTTTAACTTGGTGATTTATTTGTCCACTAAAAGGATATATAGCCTATTCCAGACGCGGTTGGCCCTCAATGCCCTCTTACCGTGTGTCCACACCAACTGTGTTTTCATTTAATGTGTCTCCAATGAGTGGAATGAAAACTTCCTCGCGCTGATGTTCCTGTTCAATTTCAAATTATGACCTCATTTCAGTTGTGCTGCCAGAAATAAGAACAACAGGATTTCAAAAGGAGAGAAATATTAGGATTCATAAATTTTGCCAAAGTAGCCTCTTGATAGTTTTGAATGACCGCTGGCCCAAGATTGAAAAGTCTGTATTTATCAAAGTTAAATGGACTCCAATTTGCCATATCAAGTCCTAGAGGAAGATTTAGTTGAGGCTGCGGCAGAAAGGCAGTGGGACTCTGCTGCCCTCCTCTGGATCAGCACGTGTATAACGTGTGTTTTCATGCTGCCGAGCTGACATTAGCTGGGTAATAATGGATATGCCCCCATGAAGATTGGAGTGGTAATTATCTCAATGGCACTTTCTGTTAATCAAGCGAGCTGCTTAACTGTTATGACTGACTGCTTTATTCACTTTGACCCTATCACGAGATCAGTCCTCCTGTTAAACAGGAGCTGCACATTAGTTTTGGTTTCTGCTGAATGAATGTGTTTTGTAGTCAACCAGGAAAACTGTGTCCAGATTGTGTTGAGATCTAAGATGGGGTCACACGTAGTAAAACTTAATAGCATACAAGTAACTAAGGAAAACTGTACACATAGTATTTATGCAACTGTAACAACTGTTATTCCTCACTGTTTCCTCAATATTATATTAATGTCTGAGTCAGAACAGGAATATTTTCCATTTTCTAGGGTTGGAATCACAGTTTTATGAAAGGCTGCTTCTTTTTGGAAGACGACGGGAGTATCAGCGCTCTGCAGTACCAGCTCCACATCCCCCACACGACAACCGTCTACCTAACCATCCAACCACTCGGCCTCAGCCACAGACCTGGTTGGTACTTAAACTGCCGATACAGAGGAAATGTATCTTTTTAGAGAAAATATTGTCTCATTTTGAATTTGATCTCAGAAAGCTGGAGCAGGCATCTGTTTACCGCTGTGTAGCATCACCTCTTCTTTTAACAACAGTCTGTAAACATGCGGGAACTGAGCAGAGCAGCTGCTGGACTTTTAGGAGAGGATGTCGTTCCATCTTCTCTGATTTAGGATTCTAGCTGTGCAACAGTCCTGAGTCTTTTTGTAGAAATATTTTTTTCTTTCATGATGCCCCAAATGTTTTCACTTGGTGAAAAGTCTGGACTGCAGACAGGCCAGTTCCGCACCCGGGTTCTTCTACTGTGAAGCCGTGCTGTTGTAATAGAAGCAGTTTGTGGATTACCATTTTGTTGCTGGAATATGCGATGCTTTCTCTGAAAAAGATGTCAGGATGGGCGCATGCGTTGCTCTAAAATCTGCTTTTCAGCATCGATGGTGTCAGTTTAGCCTGTGTTTGTAGATGGCATAGTGAACTATGTTCGCAGTGATTTCTGAAAGGGTTCCTGATTTCCACACCAGTGCCACTTGAGGGCCTGAAGTTCACAGACATCGAATGCTGATCTTAATCTCTAATTCTCTTAATCTTTTGATGATATTATGAAAGACAGATTATGAGATATTCAAAACCATTTCAACTTTATGTTGAGGAACATTATCCTGAAATTCATCCACTATTTGTAGACGTGAACTTCTGCCCATCTTTTCTTCTGAGAAACTCTAAGATGCTCTTTTATACCCAGTCATATTACTGGCCTGTTGTCAGTTAACATAATTAGTTGTTCCTCCAACTTAGGACCGGTTACTTCTCTAGCCTTTTGTTCCTCTGTCACAACGTTTTTGAGACATGCTGCTGCTGTCAAATTCAAAATGATCTGATATTTTTCTTAAAATGGTCCATTTTGTCACTTTTAACATTTCTACAGTGAATGAAATATAGGTTCATGGGATTTACTAATCATTGCATTCTGTTTTCATTTAGAATTTGCATAGTGTCCCGTCTCTCTTTTCTTTTGAGGTGGGGTTGTGTATATTACTATAAGAAGGGGACAGGGCCATATTTAATCTCTCACTGGAATACCCCAATGGTACTTTGGAGTAATGCAGGGGATAACGACATAATGTCATGTTTTGTAGTTCATCTGAGGTTGTATTTACCTCATTTTTTTAGACCTGCTGGTGAGGTTATTTTTATTATCCCGATATATAAAAACTGAAAGAGGTTGTACTTTATTTTTCAGACGACTTTAACTGGGTGAAGAAACATTTCAAAGGGGGTGTACATTATTGAACAGTGTTTGAGAACCACTGTTTGAGCTGAGTGGTTTTAGATGTTCCCTGTGATGCTGTAACATAAAGTATTGTAGAATAGAAATCACAAAGAAGATTTACTTTCCTTTTGCTGTTTAACAATCTGTTACATCGTGTAGCATCAGGTCAGACTGAATTTCAGCTCAGTGGAAGATCATTTATTAGGAAGGCGCACATCAGTTTATTTGTTTTGGCTCAATCAGTAGACTGACTGGATTAATGTGGGCTGCAAAAAGTCTTCGAGGAATGTAAAATCTCATCGATCCATTTCATTTTGTACAATCAGAAAAAAAACGTTGAAAATCTTGGGTAAGTTGATCTTCTTTGAACCCTCCCTTATTGCTTGTAGGGTAAAAATCTGTGCTGAATTAAATAGTCTGTAGAGCTAAAATGTTAAAGTCCTGTGTAAAATCTTTATGCATTCATGCGGTTTTGCTCTAATTTTCAGACAAGTCCTCAGCATGGATGACAGTGGACACAGCACTTTTTGTCATGTCAGCTGGTGAAACTAAAGAAGACACAAATTTAGTGTGTTTCACTGAGTCAAAAGACAAAGAAGTAAGTTTGGCTGTCTTAACAGGTCCGTATTATTAAATCAGTCCCATTGGGACTTGATTGATATAAAAGCCAGACCCAGATCCACTGATATCATAAAAGCTGGAATCATTTGGGAAGCTGAAATGTGATGATATTGTATGCCAGGATATTTTTGGTGTTGTTTGTTTACTGTGCAACCTCTTTTTTTTCCTATCTCTGTAGAAGTATATTTGGAAAGGGGAACTGAATGCTGGGACATACCACCTGCTTCCCTTCACCAGTGGCTGCAGGTTAAAGAAAAGGAGCAGAAAGAGCCCTTCTGGTAAACCCGTGGAGTTGTTCTACAGGACTGACACAGAAGAACTAGACCTGACCAGGGAGTTCAGGTGAGGCTGCCTCAGTTTTACAGTGTTTGACTGGTGAGAATTTCAGTGTTTACTAATCTATAAAATGTTTATAAAGCTCAGTGGATCTACACTGGGATAAAAGTGTGCCGTGCTTTGCTACCTCTGTTCTTCTCACAGGACCTGAATGAGTGAGGACATCTGAAAAAGTTGAAGTTGGCTGCCTGCAGGTCTGCTGATATTTCTGTGTTGCTCTGTTTCTGCCACAGGGAGGTGCTGTCTGACATTTTTGAGATTATAGACCTTGATGGCAATGGTTTGCTCAGCCTGGAGGAGTACAATTTCTTTGAGCTCAGGACCAGCGGAGAGAAGTGTGACAAGGATGCCTGGGCCGTCTGCAAAGGTAAAAATTATGAAATTAATATGAAATTAATTGGAGGAGAAGGCGCTATTACAGTATTATATTGATATTACGGTGATATTAAAGCTGTCTTCTACCTCCTTGTGGTAACAGAAAACTTTGATATGAGAAAGAACCAGCTGACACGACAGGGATTCATGGAGCTGAACCTGATGGAGGCCACTGAGAAAGATGGAGACCCTGCAGACATGTGGGTCACGCTGGAAGCTATGGGTTACAACCGTATGCTGGAGCTGGTTGAGGTAGGTTTGCATATATGGTTTTAGTCAAAATACATAAACCTACATCCTTGGCATACATGCAATTGCCTGATATCAGGCACACATCATGACTACTTACTACATAAACCCTCCCTCCCGCTCCACCAGGCCTGTCCATTCCAGATAGACGTATACTGTGAAAGCACTCAGCCATCCATCCAGCCCCTCAGCATGGATTCAGGGCCAAAGCTTCTGAACCAGGCGCTCCAGAAGTCCATCACAGCTAGAACAGGGGCCAAAGCACTGAGGGGACATGACAATGTGTTCATCTACACCTACAAAGGGGAGCACAGGATTTCCTCCCTCATTACCAACAAGGTAGAGTACAAAATTTGTGTAGGAGGAATTATAAGAATGTCACAGATAATCCCTTAAATAAAAATGGTGTTCGTTTAGAGCATCAACGTGATTGATACTTGTATTTGCCAAACATCTGCAGTGGATAGCACTATCCAAACCTTACTGTCTTAATACAGTCAACTGCTATAGAGACGCACTATTCATTTGTAATTGTTATGCAGCAGCAGTGTCCATTCTCATAGCAACGAGAGCGACTCTAAAAGAATGATCCAGTGAAGCAAAGCAGCTACTTTATAAGAGTGCACCTGATTATCATGAGAATGTTTAGCTTTATTCTGTGTAATAATCAGTTGCACACTGACTGCTTTTATTGCAGACAAACCAGAGAGTGACTGTGCATGTGAACAACGAGCAGAGCAGGAACTGCTGCAGTAGCAGAGGCATGACAGTGTTTGCTGTAGAAGTGCCAGCCAGGACTAAAATGGTAAGTAGGCATGGTAACAATGCTGCTTTGCTAATATTATAATGAATTTATAATCATTATTATTTTATTAGAAGAAAAAAGACTTTAACATTTAAGTTATTCACTCCATGTAAAAAGCATGATGCAGGATATTGATGATTTCCTGTAGGTGTGCCAACATGTTCTACCCATCAATGAAAAACAGGACTGGATCTACAGCTGTGTGGAGACCATACTACCCGGAATGTAAAGTCCAGCCTGAATGGACAGCTCTTTATATTCTGGCTAAAATGTATTCATCAAGGTTTTAAATGTGGGCACTAAAGAGCGATTTGTTCTATATCCACTGGCATTATATCATGAATGTGAATTATCATAAGTTGTTCTAGCTCTGCTTTAATGATTATGTGTATTTTTTTACTGTGAGAAATGGCTGAGCGCCTAATCATTTCAGCTGTCTGACTTGTTGCCTGGCCTGTAATATTGAATTTGTAGGTAGTCGATGAGTTTTGTGTAACATCTGGTTATAATGGAGACGGTTAACAATTTTCCTGCTGTTTTAAGTTGTTTTCTTTTTCCTTCTGTTGTTTTATTATTATTGTTATTATCTTTATTATTTCTCTTTGTTGAATTTGTCTTTGTTACTTTGTTATTACTGTGATACATGGAATCAAGGATTGAAGATTAAGGGTTTAATTTCTAACATTTAGAAAATCATGTCATTATTATCATGTCACAATAGAGTGTTATGTCATTATTAGGGACAACACTTTCTTATGTTCATTTTTTTTTTTATCACTCTTGTCATGTAACGGTGGATTTTACTTATGTTAATATTGCTGAATGTCATTACCATCTTGTTTCGACAGAACAGATAAGAAAATTAAAGGAAAAGAACAAAAGTCCTTCTGTTCACATAAATGTGTTTGAAAATTAGTAATACTAATTATTTGAAAAAAAATCTCTTACAGCAATATTGAAAATTCCTGTCAAGGATTCATTAAATGTGACATTAGAGAATTATCAGCAAGTTTTCCATAAACACAGAAATGTCATTCTGGCTCCAACATTATCTCCTGGAATTAGAGACACTTGTAAGTACATGTTTAGCTGATTGTGGCCATCACTGAAGTCATTAATTTTGTTACATATTCTTGCAGTTCAAGAATATTTATAAAGAATCAGAATGATTTTAGGCACAGATAACAGTTGTGAAAAGCAGATTTTCAATTCCAATTGTGAAGAAGACAAAAACTGATCCTAGTTCACACTGAACTGCAGCAGTTTAAATGCTGTGGATGTTTGTTGAATGTAACCAAGAATTGTGCCTAAACTTTCATTCAAGCTTTGCAGACTATACAACCGTGCAGCTATTCATCCATACTCTTTACAGGGTATGGAGGGGTTGGGGATTTGGGGGTTGGCAGTGAAATGCATTCCTTTGCATTGCACTCGGGTCTAAGCTTTATTTGCCCTTGGCCTTTCTAGTCGAGTACAGTGTTGACCTATTTATATCTCTCAGGCCATTATTTGACCTTTGACTTTCTCTACTGAAATAGTAGAGCCAGCTCACTAAATGTCACATGACATGTGAGATGCATTTAATGTTTCAGGCCCCTGTCTGCTCTTCTTTTCCCAACATAGGGGTTTGGTGTCATTCAGCTGCTTGCAGTTGGACAGTGGCTTTGCCAAACGACTTCTCCGTTATGTGTGTTTTACAAGAGATTTAGTTTCTTTTTTTGTGTGTTGCTAGTTACAATAATGGAAATCCTTCACTTGCATGCAATCTGTGTGATTTGTGGGTTGCAAACTCTTTAGCAATTGTTTTTGTAACAGTCTGATTAACATCATTAATTCTTTTTCCTCACATACTTTTGTTCATCCCTTGATACACTTTAAGAAAAATTTCTTGTGAAGAACAGATCCCTGTTCTTTAAAACCAGGAACCCACTCACACATTGATATTTACTGCTAATCCCAGAAGTTCATATATATTTCTTGTAATACTGGTTTGTTTTTCTCAATGAAATTAATTGGGTTCAAATTTGTGTTCTAATGTTATAGTCTGAAACTTTTTTTTTCCCTGCAAATGTTAATATGCATATTATAAATGTATATCGTAGTGTACAAAAGTGTTACCGCTCTTTTTTTATATATATAGCATTAGTCAATGCTGTTCATGTCCGTTAACACGGACGTGAACAGTTTACGTATAAGAAGGTACCTAACTCAAGAGATGACCCAGTGTTGTGTTTGCACATAATAGACAACACAGCAAAAAACTAGCAGCTTGTTGGAAAAATCCAATTTGTTCCATTTTTGTTTTGTTGAGTCTATGAAAAATCCCAATAATAAAACAGTTTGACAGGCTTTAAATAGTATGTATGCACCAACAATATAATTCTGAAATAGCTAATTGTTGAAAACTTGGAATATCTCAGCATGGTGTGCAATGTCCTTAAAGGAAATTGGGCAAGTGGAGGACAAAAGAAGATATGTCAGTCCTGAAAAAACAGACTACAGCAGATGAACAGTATCTGAAAGTCATATTTTTAAGAAACGGGGGGAAAAATCCAGACACAGCACCAGAGAAATGATTAACCTTCAGTTGATCCATCTACTGTTCACTGAAGCCTCATCAGAATTGGTCTCAGTAACCAATGGAAATGGGGAGAAAAGGCTGAGGTATGCCCAATTACACAAGAAAAGGACTGAAAATCAGTGGCAACAGGTATGACTGAGCAATTAATCCAAGTCTGAGATTTGTAGTTCAAATCATCATCAGTATTTACAGAAAAGATCAGGAGAGAGGTGCAACAGTGAGCCCACAGCCATATACAAAACATATGGAGCCTCTGTTTTTGTAGTCTGATCCCAAACACAGTTCAGTGAAAGCATACCTAGATAGAAGAAGACAAAATGGAATACTATCAGTCATTGATTGGCCTCCACATAGACTGGACCTCAACATTATTGTAGCAGTGCTGTATTTATGTTTACGTTTGCACATGTTTCTATAAATTGTTGCACCTATTTTCCATTTCTCAGCACAATATGAAGAATTTGCACAGTACTTCTGTACTTAAGGACAACCTTCTGTTTTGACAGATCTGATGGTAAACTTTGTTCTACTTATGTTGATCAAACACTGTGAAGCAAAAGGCAAACAGCAATGGGTCGAAACTGGCTATGTCGCAAGCGTCACCCTGCAAATAATCATACATCTTTTTCTATGAGTATTGCAGGTGTAACTTCGTTCCCACACAATAGAAACTGCTTGTTTCATACAGTGGATGAACTGTAGGGAAGATTTGTATTCTCACTCAGTGTTTAAATTTGACCACTTTAAACCACTGAAAATGATCACTTTACGAATAAAGAGTCTACCGTAATTCTGTATTCAATAATGTTATAAAAATGTATGTATAACACTATTTCGATCTTTTAAAAAATGCAAATATTATTGTTTTTGGTGTTAGTGGCTAATACATCTCAGACACTTAGGGGATGGATGAGATTTCAATAAATCAGACCATTGATCAAAAAGCTGGGTATTTGACTTTTAAAAATATAGTGCAAATAAAACAACACAAATAACATATTTTTGTATTATTTAATATCCAACATGAGCTCCTGAGTTGTGATTAGAGCGTTTCATCAGTAACTTTATCTTAATGTTGGTGGGGGGCGTATCCCTACGGTTTCTAGAATTTTGCTTTCAGCCCTGTGGACATTTTCCCACATATTGCAGTTATAAAAATTCATTTTTAAGCAATATCCAAGAATGGCTGAAAAGCTGTATGAATTTTGACTTTTCTACCTTTCTGTTTGCGCTGTTGTTGAGACTGAAGAACTCTTCCTTGATCCCTCCTTTCTCTTTAAACCGGGAGGGCGGGTGTTTGAAGGGGGGAGTTGCCCGGTGTGTACGTGTGGCTGCTCCGACACTGCAGTCGCCTGCTTGTCGGACCGGACTGCGGATTACACGGGGGTGAGCATTGGTGCTCGCTGGGGGTCAAAAATGGTGAAAATTACGACAGTGAAGACCAAGCCGTACACGGACCAGAAGCCCGGGACTAGCGGTCTGAGGAAGAGGGTGACGGTGTTTCAGCAGAACCAGCACTATGCGGAAAACTTCATCCAGAGCATTATCTCTGTCATCGAGCCTGCCGAGCGCCAGACTGCCACTCTGGTGGTGGGAGGGGATGGCAGGTTTTTCATGAAAGACGCTATTCAGCTGATCGTCCAGATTTCAGCTGCCAACGGGGTCAGTAGCAGAACGACATGTTGTTCACCTTTGCTGTCCTTGCTGTATGTGTGTGTGTAGCTCACTGCGTCTGTTCCTATAGAATAGCTTGTAAGCTAGCAGGCTCACATCAAGCTAGCTGTCAAGTATATCAGATGCATTCCTAAATAACTAGTCTGTTGATTAGTTTGACATTATTTGGTTAGTTTAAAAATTAAAAGTTTGCTACATAGAAAGCTAGAGTAACTTAAGTAGCTTAATGCTAACCGAGAGAACGACCAAATGCTCAAAATATTTACTGTCAGGTCATGTATTATTAACTTGTTAGCATAAATATACGTATTTAAACATGGGTTACGTTCTGCATATTAAAATGTTGCGAGAGGTGCTGTTCAGTTCTATATTAAATGGGTTCATGTAAAGTTATGCAATGCTTTAAAGTCAATGACTACAGTTGGGGTGGCTAATCAGCTGCTCTTACAAGCTCTCTTAACACTTAGACCCCCACGGATAGTCATTTGGCCATTTTCTACCTATAAAACCCGAGAGCAGCCAAATGGCTGGTAGGCTTTTAGCTTCAGCCAAGTGGAAGCTAAATTGTCTAGTCATTCATATGTAAATTGGGTCGTTGAGTCGTTATCTGGGAATTCTGGAGGGAGGGGAGTGTGATTGAGGGCCATCTAAGTTTGCCATCTTAGGGAGAAATGACACATGGGTATATGTCCTTTGTTGCTAAGATTTATTGATAAAAACAGTACAAAAAACCAACCAAGGAAGGAAAGACGGGTGGACTTCCTGGTGGCGCTTGCAACAGAGTTGGCTCGCTCTCATGTAGCTGGGAAGAAGGCAAGAAAAGAACAGTTGCTTC